GAAAGAAATAAGGAAATTAAAACATTCATAACCTTGAATGAAAATTAAAACACAACATATGAAAATCTATGGGACACAATGGAAAAACTGCTATGAAGATTATTTATAGCACTAAGATGTACATAAAAATTGGAGACCACATAATAATAATTATTTAAAAGTGCATGTGAAAGCATAGGAAAAATAAGAACAAACAACACCCAAAATGTCAGACAGAAAGACATAACAGAAGTCATGGCTGGAAATAATAAAATAGAAACAAACAAACAAAAAAACAAATAGTAGGAACTTAGTTAACAACATTTGTTAACAAGATTAGCAAATTTTATCCAAAATAACCAAAGAAGAGAGAAAAAAAATCACAGATGAAAAGGGTGAGCATGAGTTAGTAAGGTAAAAGAGTGAATATGAGAAGAGATAAATAAGTCACACCAAAGGCTCTTTGTAAAACTTATGGGAAAATATTACTATAGTAGCTTTAAAAATGCAAATACATATACATCATATATATGCCCTAGGACCAGTAAAAGATTACATCGAGTGATTGGCCAATAGAGTTACATAGATCCTTAACTATCACAGGTTATTGTCAATATTCCAGGTTACTCTCCAGAACTCTATGAGAAATCACTATTTTGATGACATATTTTGGAGTCACAAAATGTAAAGACATCAAGCTGCTACTCATCTAGAACCTGCATTCCTATTGGCTAGTTTTTGTTGTGCTGTGTAGCAGGAATCTTAAAAGTTCTTATTAATAAAAACAAACCTGAGGCAAGATATTGGGGTGAACTCTGGAAGATCAGAAAGACAGAACAAGCCACAGCTACCTCACCTCGCTGGATCCTCAGCTGGTCTTGTTTCCTCAGACTGGAGGCCTCTGAGTCCTCATCCAGAATGGGTCTCAGCTGTATTGCTGCTCAAAAGCCTGAATGCTTAACCAGGCCAAATGCTTAACCATGCCAAATGCTTCTTGTTCCTGGTCCTCGCGCCTTATACATCTTTTTGCCTTCTACCATCACTCCCTGGGATTAAAGGCTTGCTTTCTGGGATTAAAGGCGTGAGTTGCGATGCTTGGCTGTATCCTTGAACAGATGCGTTTCTGCCTATCTCTGCCTCCCAAGTGCTGGTATTAAAGGCGTGTGCTACCACTGCCTATCCTCTATGTTTAATATTGTGGCTGTTCTGTTTCTGACCCCTCCACCCCATAAATTTATTAGGGTGCACAATATTTCGGGGAACACAATAGCACCACAGTGCTGCGATGTGATATTCATGGTACTGGGGGAGAAAAGTTCTTCTCAGTCTCACCCAGCTGTGAACCTGCAAGTTACAACAATGCCTGGCCTGATACGTCATGCCCAGCAGTGCAATAGTTACACCAATGTCATGGGAGCCACAACTGCTTTCTGATGGAGTCTAAGGCCCATTTTGTTAGACAGCAACCATATCTACAACTGTTAAAGGGCTAAGATTCTGTGGTCAAATCTATCAGTCTAATGGACTAACAGTAGAGTGATACAATGATTCCTAATGACTTACTACTATATCGACAGTCCAGAACTGTCTTACTTTTCATCAGAGAAATTTCTCCTTATGGGGATGGCAATTAATATAGAGGCACTCAACTGTTTGATGCACAGAGAATAAAGCATTGTGACATGCTCACCCCTAAATCATAACACATTCCTTTTCAGAGGGTTTAAGTCTCATGTGGGAGAGGAAGCAGAAATGTTGTAAGAGCCTTCAGTGATTAATAAGATCAAGGAAGCAGTGTATTCTGGAGACAAAAAGAGAGATGAACATAAGAACTCAGAGTAACCGTGACAGCCTACACTATGTAGGCATCACCAGATAAAAACCCAGCACAAAGTGAGAAGAGGAAATATGAAGTACCAAGTCTAGCTGATTAGCTCCTAGGAATGGGAGAGTCAATTTCCTTCAATGATGAGACCCTGATGGGTTGATCACATATCAGACCTAAGGCTAGGTGAGCAACAGAAACTGGACTCAATGGGGAAGAGAGGGAAAAAAGAAATCCCAAAGTATGGTAGGAAGAGATGAGAGGATGTAGAGGAGGATAATAAAAGTTGAGGGTAATGTTCAAATTACATCACATAAAATTCTCAAATAATTAATAAAATATTGCAAAAATAAAATAAAACAAATATATCAACCATAGAACAATGGTTTAAAAATCTTATTGCAGAGTTACAGTAGTGAAAGTAGTGAAGTGTTGAACACAATCAACATCAATACCAGTAGAGCGTTGGTAGCCAGAGTTAACCTAAACATCTAAGGCCAAGACATTTACAACTGAGTTCCAAGCCTGCTCTATCTAAAGGAAGAGACTTCAGCATGATTATGGAAGAGCAGGATAACTACATGAAAAGAAGGATGCTGGAAAGGTAACCTAGGGATAGGCCTTGTTCCCTATGGTTTGGACTCATAGATTTCAGAACAAACCACCTCAAACCCAGATAAACCAGACTTCATCCATGACAAAATGCTAATGCATTCAGGACATAATTAAGAATATGAAAATGACCACTACTGGATGGAAATATGTTTCCATACCATTTATATGGAGATGTTTATATCTAGATACATACACAATTCCACAAATCCACACAGTAAGGAATGTAATAAGCAAAACATTTGAATAAAAATTCTCTGAAGACACAGAAAGGCAAAATGGCACCTAAAAAGATTTTCATTTCCACTGTTAT